GGCCCAGCCTGTACCCCACCTGCCCCGTCTTCCCTGCATGAGCACTTCAGCCTGTGGGCCCCTAATTAGAGCGGATTAAAGTTCTGGAGCAGAGACCGTGCTTAATGAAGCCATGCTGGCTCCTGCGAGGTGCCAGGGCTGCTTGCCTGTGCCCTTCCTGGCACTTTGCACAGAAGGCAGCCACCTGTCCCTGCCCTCTGCCACATGTAGGGACCGCCAGGTGAGGCTCCTCACACCTCCCCGGCTCCACACCATCCCATTGCCCCGGGCCACCCCCACGTGACCCCTCACTCCGTCCCCACGAGGGGCGACCTCATCTGGGTAAAGTGGCTGGGGTAGGCATTCCAGACCTTCCACCCTGGTTAGGCCCAGGCATGTGGCCACACCTTCACACCTTTGCTGCTTCAGAAGCGTGCCTGGGAGGGGCCCAGGCGAAGGCCCGTGGGGAAGTCCACGTGGGCCGGGCGGTGAGCTGGAGACGGCGCCAGACAAGGAGAGGTGCCCCGGTCGCTCCTGACATGCCACACCCTCCCAGAGGCTAGGCAGAGCTGGGAGCCCACGCAGGAGGGCCGTGGACCCCAGGAGGAACAAGTGGTCTAGCCTCTGTCCATGCAACCAGTGTCACGTGTCGTCTGTAGTGTTTCTTACCGGGGGCCTGTCTGCAGTCAGTGCAGGGGTCAGGGCAGCACTGGGCTGCTGGCCCTTCCAGGGGCATCTCTCAGGCTGTCCTGCACGATCGAGGGGCATGCACCCAGCAGAGCCCCCCTCCACCCAGCTCTAGACCTGCTGCCCACGCAGCTGCTCCCACGCAGGAAAGGCCTCTGAGCCCCAGGGACCCTGAGCGGCTCTGGCTGAGACAGTCACTCACCGTACTGACCGCCCCTGCCCTCCAGGTCTGGGCATGGGGTTGACACAAGTCTGCGCCTGCTTCTGGGCAGGCATCCAACTCTGCCCTCTGCCCTGCATTCCTGGCCTTGCCTGCAGCCCCAAATTCCTGCCGTGCTGGAGGCAGGGAGTTCTCAGTGAAGGCACATAGCTCAGGAACTCGCCCCCTCACCTGGCCTGTCCCGGCCTGAGCCCGCAGCCTGCGGGGCGAGCACAAGCCCCGTCTGCATAGCAGGCCGAGGCTGGGACTCAGGCAGGGAAGTCCCTGGGCTACAAGCCGTCAGCTCCTGCCCCCAGGAGGCCCGGTGGCAGCCCTCTCTGGACACCAAACGAGGGACGGAGATCGTCTTCCACACAGGGCTTCTGGAGAGGGAGTGGCTCACAAGTGCTGGGAGGGACGGGACGCCCCTTGGGTTGTCTCTCCGGAGCCCGGAGCACTTCACCTCCAGGTGTTTGCAGCCAAAGCCTGCGGAATGCTGGCGGCCACAGGAATGTTATCTGCTGGGAGGGGCCCCAGGTTACACGAAGCAATCTAGCTGTGCAAAAGTACAGCCTCCAAAATCAGCATGTTCGGAAGGAAGGCAGCTGAGGAGAGAGACGTTACTGCTAACTGCTCTTTAAAGCGCGAGCCGCTCCCTCCCTCTGGGCTCCCAGGGGCAGGAGGCTCCCTGGTTGAAACAGGCGTGTTTACTCCACACGCGGTTCTTGGGGAGACACCCTGCACCCTGCACCCTGCGGGGCAGCGCCCTGGGCTCACTCCAGAGAGCAGCGCTGAGGCAAAGTGGATCTGTACACAGTCTCCTTAAATGACTGACTTTGTAAACAGGTTTCTTTCTGTTCTGTTATCACCTTTCTGCAAAGGGAGGGTGGGCCTCCTAGGGTGTCCTAGACCGGATTTCTCCCAGCCAGCCACCTTTCACCAGAAGTCAGGCCCGGGGTCGCCCACATGGTTTCAGGGTCAGTGGGTGGCTCTTGTCTGAGCATCACCAGAAAAGCCGGATTTTAAAGCTGCAGGAGACCCACCGGGTCAGGAGGACCAGTGCCCCCGGCGAGGCACTCGAGGAGGACAGAAGTGGGGGGGGCGTGCGCGCCCCAACTGCTGTCTTTCCTGCCCCGCCCCCTACCCCCCACCGCGGAGCTGCCTGGCCGTCAGAGGAGCCGCCGGGGCCGTGTCCACGCTGCCAGAGCCCAGCCGGATGGGTCACGACCCAGACAGCAGGCGCTCCTGCACCACCCAGCCTACCTCCCGGCCCCGAGCGAGCTTACATTTGCCGGCTGCAGGCGCCCGCGGCTCTGGGGCGCTGCGGTGACTGGCGGAGACTCGGCATCGCAGGGGATCTCCCTTCCTGTTGAGGAAAGCAGCAGAGGACTCGGAGGAGCATCCTCTCCCTGAGGCTGCACGTCTCGTGGCCCCTGTCTCCACAGTAGACGTATTTGCAGCCTTTAATCAGAACAGGTAACTACACAAATACATCTAAGGCGTGTTTGGTAGGCTCATGAAAGACAGCTTTACCACGTTCACTGCAGGGCACTGGGGTCACTGGGCACAGTTCCTTTTCTTACAGATGCCACTGGTGCCAGTGGCAGAGAGCAGACACATACTGGACGCCCCACCGCTTTCATCTTTCCAGAGCACCCAAAGAGGGGTGGCTGCATCTTCTTTCTGCTGATAAGGGGCACCTCCTCCAAGTGATCCTCGGTCAGGCCCTAAGGTCGCTGCTCCCTCCTACTGTTCACTACCCATCCCTGAGTGCCATCCTAGGGTCCCCACCTTCCCGGTTTGCCAGGACCGTCCTGGCTCTAGTGCTGCAAGTCCTGTGTCTGGGGAAAGGCCTCGGCCCCCAGAAACCAGGATGCCGGTCACCCTCTGACTCTGTAAAACCAAGGCCCCTTCACCTGACCTCAAGCAAGTCTCTACAACCATGCTGTACACCAGAAATTAACACAACATTGTAAGCTGACTATGTTTCAATAAAACTTTAAAAAAGAAAAATTTAAGTGGAATTTTTAGTGAGAGAGGAAGGCAGTGGAATGAGCTGGGGAATGTGCCCTGGGACTTGGGACGATCGTTCTGCAAAAGCACTGAAGCTCCTCCTTGAAGGCGTGCATCTTTATTTACAGGCAGCATGGCTCCCGGTCCACCAGGGAGAGAAAGTCCAGATCCAACAGGTTTCCTCTCTCGGATTCCTATGATGTAACCAGCAGGGGAATCATGTGCACGGCTTCACAGCACCATGGCAGCCGGTGGGGGCTGGCCGGCTGCTCACGCATGAACATCACCACTAATTGGCTCTCTGTTACCCCACAGCCCTCCCCGGGCTGGACTGTAGTTGCTTTGGGCCCACTCCCCAGCATGCAGAGCCCTGCGAGGTTGGGCGCACACATCTGCCATTCTCAGCACTTCCTGGGACCAAATCCATGCAAATCCACTCACAAGGGCTGTGGTCCAGCAGCAGGTGGACGTGCCCACGGAACAAGCACACGGGGCTGAGGGGCCGAGCGGCTTCCGCGTTTGCTCCGGTCCCCAGAGGGTGCTGGGCTGGCGGGCTCTCGGAGGCGTGAGGAGATGCCAGCGAGCAGCTTCCAGGGCAGGACCTCAGTCATGCCGGTGCTGCCCCAGGGAGCAGGGCCATCTGGCCGGTGTGGCAAGTGGCTGCCAGCACAGCCTCCTTTTCCATCTCATTTCAGGAGAACTGGCGCCTGGGGCAGAGGCCCAGGCACAGTCTGGCATGAATCCGTCCCTGCGTCTGCTCTGCTCCTGGAAGAGAGGGGTCTGGAAGGACTATGGGAAGAGCGTGTGCATGCGTGTTCACACCTGCATGGCACCACCATCCGGAGAGCAGAAGGGTCAAGGGGAAGGTGTGTAATTGGCCCAAGAGCTCAGGGTGACGGGAGAAGCACATCAGGGAGGAAGGAGGAAACCGGGTGCTGAGGGCGGGAGACAAGAAAACATGTGCAAAGGAGATAGGTTGGAGGAGGCGGCAGACAGAACTGAGGAGAGACAGGGAGAGAAAGGACCTGACCTCCCCACACCCGCCCCTGAACCAGCACCAACCCTGACCGCAGCCGCGCAGCAATCACACCGCAGGGCACAGCCTGGTGCACTGGGGGCTGCACCCACCCCCTCCCGCGACGTGACTTCCTGTTTATTTCCAACATGTTGATGTCACGTGTTTACCAAGAGCTCAGAGGCCAAAGTTGCCACACTGAAGAGTGGGAAGAATTAAGCTCTTGAGGGAAAGTTTGTTTTTTCCAAAACAGGAGAACCGGGGCTCGAGGCGACCAGGATTCCATAGGGACAAACCTTGCTATGACATGACCCTTGCATCTGGCCTCACTCTCAGCTCTGCCCGGGGCTGTCCTTTCTCCGGTTCCTCTGCCTTCAAAGAGCCCCCGGAGCACGCCAGCTGCGGCCAGCTGCCTCTCTGCACCTTGAAGCCACCACCAACCACTGGAATTTGTGCCATGGGCCAGCGGTGGAACATAATGAAGCTCCTCTCTCCATCTGGGAAAAGCACCCACCTGAGAGGCAGTGACAGAGTTTCTGATGAACATTTACTGCCACACGTTTTCAGGGGAAAAACGAGTAAGTAAAGCTCCTCTGGTCAAGGAGCACTGACAGTTGAAGGCGGGAAAGAAATGGGAGGAACCCCACTTCTTCTGGTCCTTTGATTTCTCACCTGGTGTCCATGCCAGAGCTGTGACATCACAAGGCCAAAGGGCCAGAGGAGGGTAACGAGCCCTGCTAGCCCGGCCTTCAGCCCTGGCCTCACACCCGGTGCTCCTGACGAGGAAGCCACTGGTACCTGGCTATCTGCAGACTCACTAGAAGAGAGAGTAGTCAGTGTGAGGGCACCTGCTTGTCAGGTAGAATCTTCAGAAATTGTCCACGTATGTGTGTGTGTGCGTGTGTGTCTCTGTGCATGTGTGTATGTGTATGTGTGTGTATGTGTGTGTGTGACATTTACATAATCTCTTCGGGCTGTTTGCTAACCTGAGGATCCTCACGTCCTCTTCGCTGAGGACAGAGAAGCAACAGGAGTCATAGGAACCAGATTCAGCTGGGATAGGACAGCCCTGTCATGGCTTCCAACTCTCACTAACAGGCTTAAATCTGGAAAATCTACCACAGCCAAGGAGAAGCTGAAACTCCCAAAAGAATGGTACTTTCTGTTTTTCAAGGATTCTGATCCAATGGGAACTAGAAAAGAGGGAGACAGGAGAATCGTATTTTTAGCGGCTTCTTGAGTCATTAGTTCTGCCCTTTAGTCCTGTGGGAACTAGGGCTGCCGTGTTCATGCGTTCACCACGCCACCCACTCGTGGGAGTATTTTTCTTCACTTTCACACGGTGCCACCTCAGTCCTCTCAGCAGGGGAAGGACTGATACGAGGAACACAGAAGTTCCGGCTGATCCTGCTTATTTCCAGTGAGTTCTGTTTAGGAGCTAAATACCTGATTGTGGGCTCCTTAAGCACGTGGGCCCTGCTCCTTCTCCGGAGTCTGTTCTGGACGCTTCCAGAGCCTGAGGGCAGCAGCAGCAGCTCTGGGTTGTTGCTGCACCTGGAGGTGAGATGTGCTGGACCCTTGCCTCCATTTTCAGGCAGCAGAGGGACAAATCCCGGGGCCTCACCCCGTCAGGGAGGAAGGCCACCCCGACGGGTACCAGAGCTAAGGGCTCGGGTGGCTGAAGGACTTTGGGGAGGACAGCACCCGAGACCACAGGAGCCAGCAAGGAGTCACGTGGTCTTTGGAGTGAGGTGACATCTGACACAAAGCCACCCCCACACAAGGCCATAACTAGAGCTCTGCAGCTGGTGGTCCTGGGTGAACAATGGATGGGGGTGTGCTGAGACCACCTCCCGCACCTCTTTGTGCTGGCGAGTGCATGAGCGTGTGCACACATGTGCCTCTGCAATCCTGAAAGCCAGTCATTCCTGGTGCCAAGATCCATATCTTGGCTCTCCATGGGACCCTGCACCTGCTGTGCAGGCCTTGGGGCTGCAGGGACCGGGCAGGTGGCTTGTACGCAGATGAAGACCTGGTGAAGAGCCGGCTCACTACATCGGTGTCTTCAGAAATATTGTGGCCCTGGTCAAGCTTCTGCAGACTGGCCTCAGACAAGCCCTTATGGAAACTGTCGTTCAGGACAGAGCCAGGATGTCCTGGGGACCGCACTGCTGGTCAGCCGCAGGTCAGCTGCAGAGCCAAAACTCTTTACAAGCAGTGAGGCTGTGGGTGTCCCAGTGGGGCCTTGAGTGATATCACGTGTGTTCTTGGGGAGCAGACACGGACGCCCCACCGTCAGACAGCCAGGCCTGGAACGTTGGAATATTTGCAGAACTCTGGGATGCTGCAAAGGCCACATCTGGATGTTGTGGAATGAAGTATGTGTCTCTTCTTCAGGGTGGTGGCAGTCCCTGCCCCAGCCTGAGGCTGCCAGGGTCCAGACTGCACAGAATAGCGAAAGACAGAGGGACGCACGAGTCCTGCACCACCTCGGAGCCATCCCACCATGGGCAGAGGCCCTCTGCAAAGGAGTCATCCACACTGCTGGCCTCCACGCCCACAGAGCCCTCGCTGAGTCAAGTCCGGCCCCGGTGTGTCCGAGAGCAGAAGCTTCCCACAGAAACCACAGGAGTTTGGCTGCTGGAGGAAGTGGACACTTGTGCCTGGTGGTTTAAAGCCTTTTCGCTTTTGTTTTTTCTGCAGCTGTGACACTCCCTGAGTGATTCTGACACAGGTCTTCTGAGGGACAATGACCACCTTCCTTTTTGGAGAACTGGGGAAAGAAAGGCTCGGGGTGGCCATGGTCCAGCCAGGGAGGTGGAGCCAGCCAGGCGAGCATGGCCTGGGTCTCTCCTGATGCAGCCTGTCACCTCTGGGGACAGAACAGACACTCGGTGCCGCTCCAGTGGGGCTTCAGAGATGGCTCGTTGCAGCCCTGCCGATGCCCGCCCCCAGGGAGTCAGCCTGCTCCCTGTCTCCCTGATTCACACGCTCACCCCGGAAGGGTTTTGTCGGTCACCTGAGTTCAAGAAAGTCCTGCAGGAAGAGTGGGGACCGGCCCCCCGCCCTGAAGGCAGGGCAGAGGGGGCGTGTGAACTGCGACAGGTGGCGGTGGATCCCACTTGTGACGGCCTCCCAGGCCTGAGCCTTGCTGTCAGAGAGGCAGCACAAGCTGAGGGAGCCGGGGGGCTGTGTCTCGCCCAGGCCGCACGCAGGCAAGAGGCATGTGTGCGCCCTCACTGAGTCTAGGGGCCTGTGAGTGCCTCGCACCTCAACGCTGTGCTGCCAGAGCGGGAGAGGACATGAGAAGAAACAGAGTTCCTATTCATGGTGGGCAGCCACCACGGCACCACACACAGTAGAGTCAGAAACCAGGTGCCCAGGGACACAGACAAGCCCTGCTCCGCTGCCTCCCGGACTCTGAGCAAACCAGCTGGTCCCTGGTCTTGTGGGTGCAGGGCCATCCAGTCGCCTGAACCCAGACCTCGGTCGTGAACCCCGCTCCGCCCTCCCAGAGATGCGGGTCAGGAGAGGCCCAATCCGCGTGAGGCGGGCGTGTGCAGGGCTGCTCTCGGGTCTGACGCTGGCGTGTGCAGGTAGGAGGCCAGAGCTCGCTGCTAAAGGAGAAAGTCCCGGGCGAGAAGAGGGTTTGCTGTGACTCTGGGTGGAGCGTGTCGGCGCAGCCCCTCGGCCTGCAGGAGAAACACCCTCCCACCTGCTTTGCTTCTCGCCGTGTTCAGACGTCAGGCCTCAGGTGTCTCCCCGGCGGTCAGGCCCCACCCGGCCAGTGGGCAGCTTGGCGGTGCCTCTGGTGAGTGGAAGCTCCTTGGGACTTTAGGAGCAGGACGGCCCGCCCCCTGCTCCTCTGCGGGGACTGTCTCCTCCCCAGGGACCCAGCGACTCCCAGGGCCAGCGCCGCTGCTCTCAGCAGGGCCGTAGGGGGCTCCGGTGTTGTTCTCCTGGTCCACATGCCCCCCGATGATCGGAGCCCTGGGTGCAGCCCTGCTCTTCCCGCACGTGCCCCCTGCACACGGGATGGAGTCTGGACCCGAATGACCCAGGAGAGCCGGAGTAACTTCCCAGCAGTTTCTCCACTTGAAATCACTTTCCTCCGGAGGCATCTTAAGTTTTAGGCGTTGAAGCACCCAAAGGTGCCGCAGGGCTTGGAAAGGGCACAGTCAGACCAGGCAGGTGCTGAGGTCGGCTGACATTGCCCCTGACTTCACTGCCAGACGGGCTTGGTGGCTGTGCTTGACCGCCCTGCTTGCCACTGTCCTGGCCGACAATTGGTTGGGATGTTCAGGTGCTGAGTTGGCCTACGCTCTAACCAGGTCCACGGTAGCCGCTGACGGATGTAACACCCGTGATTGCCCTGACGTGATGGAGAGGCCGGTGGAGCCTGGGGCGCAGCAAGAGTGTGTCAGGGCCGGACTCCGTACTGGAGCCAGCTGGCCAGCACGCATGTGCCCCCAACCTGCCAGGAGTGCGTCCCGGAGTGAGAGCTGATTCCGGGACGTCTTGGAGGCTGGAGGCTCCTCGCGGTCTGTGCTGCTGTCACTGACACTGGATCATAGTCTTAGTCCTACAGAGTAACTGTGCAGGCTAGGCCGCTCACTGAGTGCTTCTGCAGAGTTCTGACCCAGAGTTACGAAGCTGGCACCCCCGAGTGTGAGCCAATACTCTCTTCTGCCCTTTTTGGAGCTTCCTCAACCCAAATGCCCCAAGTTGGTCTTCTGCCCCAGGACCATCGGGGCCTTCGCCCTCCTGTGGCCCCCTCTGTGTGCCGTCGGACCCCACGGTGAGGAGAAACGCATGGATGCGATTTCTAAGTCAGCGTGGAAATACCTGGTTTCCTTCAAAACACTGCCTGAGGGTTTAGTGCCAACCCCAGCCCCTAGATAACACTTTGCGCAAGGGATCCGCCACATTCACCAGCCAGAGGTCTGGGGAGGGACGGGCCGGCTGGGGACGCCTGGCCACCACTCCCGCTGAGCCTCAGTGTCCTCGGTGTGAGTGGGGCTCGAGGCAGCGCCTGTCTCCCGGGGCTGTGCAGACTGAGTTCGGACTGGAATTGCCAGACCCAGAAGGACTGCCAGGTATACCAACCAGCCCTTCATTCCGTCAGCCACTCTGGGGTCTCTGTGGATTCTCTTCTGTCAAAAGCTGCATTTGCCCCCATTTTTACTGTTGTGCTGAAAGCGTGACAGCAACACATGCCGCGGAAGCAGAGCGAGAAGGACATGGCGTCGTCACAGGTTAGTTTGCCCTGCGTGGAGGCTGAGTCCAGGCGAGCTGGAAACAGGCCCCTTCCCATTAACAGCAAAAGTAAGATACATTTACCGCAAACACAGGCAGTTGTCTTGCATAGAAGAGCCGCTCGAATTTATCAAGTTTCCAAACTCAGGAAGCTCGTTGTTCGTTAGAGCACACATAAATAAAGTTGGCTTTTTGGTGTGAAAAAGAAGGGACCAAAGGACGCATCACTGCAAAGAAACACCTACACTTTAACAGCAGACCCCACTTTCCCAGAGCACCGGGGGTTGCGGGGGGGGGGGCTCGGCCCCTGAACCCTGAGTCC